TTGATCTAGTGAGACAAGCTTGTTAACCATTGTACTATGTCAAAGTGCCCCGTAACAAAATGTGTATGCAACAGTAAAAATGTGCATAAATTTCATTTATGTCTTGCAGCTGTCAAACATCTCAACTTTGTGATATGTATGTAGTTCTTAAATTAAACAAGTTTGACCATCACTGCCATAAGGATGACATGTCCCAAAAAAAAAAAAAAAAATGTGTTATTTATCATTTCTGAGATGAGGAGTTATTATGCTTGGACTAATGCCCCTCATCTTTTGTTATCACAAGGCTTCGACCATTATGCTCTTCTGCCTTTTTCAGGTGTCTACTAAACCAGGTAACACCTTTATGCAATTTTGAACTGAACATGTTATTTAATCTTCAGGGGATGCCTAAAGGATTAAAGAATCGGTTTCTTTCTCATAGGATTGACTGTTTAATTGCTACAAGATTTTATACAAAATAATATTACATACATTAATTACATGATTGCTGTCTTGTTTTTTATGACTTATCAAGCCCTTTCCGGTTATTTAAAGCCAGAAGATATTTTTAGATACTAATAATTTACTGATACAATTCTTACTAATTAACCTATAGCTGCGAGAGAAGAGGTGGATTCATACCTTTTCCAAGGTATTTGTACATACATACATAACATACATACACACATATATATATATATATATATATATATATAAAATAATTAAAAAATAGACAACCTTAAGATTCCATGACTATAATTTATTTCCCCAGAAAATATATTTTATTTTATATAATATATTCTCTGTAGAAATAAATTATAGTCATGGAAACTTAAGGTTGTCTATTTCTTAATTATTTAATTAATATTTGCATGTTTTACATTGAGTTCCCTAAATCACATCCTCTTTGGAATTATCCATATGGATTACCAAACACTTCATTACCTTACTATTTAAGTGAATGTAAGGAAGCCAACGGGAATTGAAACTCGGTTCTCCAATTAGCAATTCTGAGGCATTATCTATTATACAATCCATACATCCAAGCTTACAGCACCTGGTATTCCCAAGTAGTCACCCATTTAAGTATGGACCAGATTTGACATTGCTTAACTGTGGTGATCATACAAGAACCATGATTTCCATCCAGACTTCTATTGCAGATTGTTCTTGTGACTTCCATGACATTTTGTCAACCCAGTTTCAGGGAATTCCAAATGGAACCGTTCATTTAATCTACAGCAGCATTTTTCAATTTATTTTTTTTTTTTACTGCGACTACAGCAAGAACATTTTACATTGCATTTGCAACCCATTATACCTATGTGTAATAAATGAAAGACAAACTCCATTCACTAGGTTCATTTATTTAGCATTGACAATTTATATGTATATTTCTTATGATCCGCACAAATCGGAATTGTGTGTATCCATTTGTATTATCTATTTGTATGAATATGAAATTTAAAAAAAAAAAACTACCCCATTCTTAAATTTTGCCAAAACAGTCAAGATTTCAAATGAACACAACACATGTTACTACCACAGAAAGAATGTAATCGACTTGGACACTGAGTTGGGAAATTCACTTTTAGCCCTGATTTCACATGCAACTGAGTTATTCAACAATCTTAACAGCTCTCACTGGCCACAAAGACGAATGTACTGAACACCTTTGTAGTTTGGCACAAGGTCTCTTTGTGAGAGAGAAGTGATGTCACTCAATCCACAATGAGTTTGAAGAACAAGATATAAAAACTCAATGAAAACAATATATATATATATATATATATATAAATATATATACATTTAAAAAAATAAAATATTATACAAGCTTACCTCAGTGAAAAACTAGCAAAGATTTATAAGAGCTGTGCAACATTTACAGTTTTTTTATATTCTGATCTTTGCTCACACTTGCGTATTTTTCTCCCTTTTTTGTTGCGCTCTTATTCCCCTGTTCATCTTTATCCTTAGGGATATCCTGTGTGCTTCCGCTTTTTTTTTTTTTTAAAAGCACTGCTCAGTTATTGCTTATCCTGTTTCTCTTATTTACATATTTGATTATTTTCATGGGTTTGTCTTCTTAGTAGACATTCATTTTGTTAGTATCTTGAATATAAAGTTTTAGGAATATCTTGGACATCTATTAATTAAAACTCGGCTTCTCATTACAAAATTACTTTGAAGCCAAATTTGGGATCATTGTTGGTAATATGACTGACCCATGCTTGAAATTGAGTTGACAAAACTATTTGGAAGCCATCATTGTGTTAGCATGAAGTTACAAGTCATTGTGACTGAGGGTTTAAGCATACTAGCCTTGTTCTACTAATCACACCAGATTATACACTCTCTCCCAGAAACAATAACTAACATTCATTTGGCAAACATGGACCTTTGTGCCTGCAAAGAAAATGAAATGTCAAAAGGACATTATGACACTGCTTTTATTAACTACCTTCACTCTTTGGCAATGTTTTTTTTCAAAAATTGATGATTAGAATTGTAATAAAATCTAAGCATATGATGAAAATGAATTCATACACTTTTTTTTTTTTCATTCAGTATAAACCACAAGTTGGCCAAGGATGAAGTTTCTATCCTGCAATGAACAAAGATGATCAATTACAAAAACTGATTCATTGGCAAATGCTGAACATTTATTTAAGCATCAGCCAATTAAATATCATTCTATTTTATGTTACTGTCAAGTGTCCAATCTTAAATATTTAATTTGTTTTAGTCCAACTTCAATCTTATTTCAATTTTTTCAATTCAAAAAGAATCACAAACTTTTATTATTGTTCTCTTAATATGAATTTGGAGAAATCACGTCAGTTTTCAAAATAACCAATTACTGCACTTAAAAATTGTCCCTTTAAAAGTCAAAATTTAGTCTTAAACCTGTTTCTTCCAATATTTAATAATTTAAAATTTATGTAACATGGATTGAAAATAAATTGTTATGTTAGTCTGGAAAATTCATTTATATAAGAACCACACTTTATCCTTATAATGATCCCCAATTGCTTGTTCAGAAATTTAATCTTACTCGCCACAGTTTCAGAATTGAATGCATAATATACAAGAAATTTAAGAAATGAAACTAACAATTTTATTTAATAAGCAAAGGTTATCTTTTTATGATTCCATTGCAAAGAGAGATTGATCTTTTATTTTCAAGAAATTTTTCTATTTATTTAAATTTCATTTCAGATGCAAGAATTATTATCCCTGTTTGTTTTTATGTATACCCCTTTTGTACTACTGTATTTGATAGCATTTTTTACTAAAAATATCTTTTAAAATTCCCTTATATACATCTTATATACCAGATGTAGGTTTACTAATTTTACTAATTACTAATTTTTTCTTGATTTGCCCTGCTGAAATTAAGATGCATTTTATACACTGTCAAATACAAATGCAGTCTGGAATAGTGTGTTTGGTGGCAATTTTTCAACTTATAAAATAAGCATGACATTTCAAATAGACATTCTGTTGGGAATTTTTATATAAGTTTAACAAATTTGGAATGAAGTAATCATATCACAGAGAAAATGATTTGAAAAATAATGTGTGCTGTACCGAATAAGCTGGGGGAGGGAAATGAAAAATAATATTACCAAACCTCAACACTTTTATTTAGTATTTAAATATTTAGTAGATAAGAGTAACTGAAAATTGGTTTGTGAAGTTGACTGTGAAAGTAATGAGACAATGTGAAGAAAGCTTATTCAAAGTATGCATTTTGCTGTTTTATGGCAGGCATCTTCAGGTCAGAATGAGAGACAAGTCTTGTATGGAAGTTTTAAGAAAGGGGTAAGAAATAAATTTGGAATGGAGTAATCGTGTCGTAGAGAATATGATTTTAAAAATAATAAGCATGTTGTAGCAACTAAGTGACCTGCTGTAGTGGGGACACTGAAGGAAGCAAATTTAATCATGTTGGCACTTGCATTTGGTATGCAAGAGTATACAAAATATAAGTATACATCTGTAGGAGGCACGGTGGAGTAATGGATAGAGGCTCGGATTGAGGAATCGGAAAGCCGAGTTCGAATTCCAGTCGAATCCATTACATTCACTTGGGAAAGGTGTGAATCCTCTTTCTTCTCCCTCCAGCTATGGGTAAATAGCAGGACAGACTGGGTTCTATAGCCTTGGATGGCAACTGGTCTAGGAGAGGGAAAACTCTGAATTCAAACCTGCTCTTAGAGGAGGGTGAATGGAGTCTATCTGAGCCTTGGTTGGCAATCTATTTAGTGTTGGTGTCACGATAAAAACACCCTTGATAGCCCTAGCGAAGCATCAAGAATTCAGCTATTTGACAAGATTATGAACTACACCAATCAAAGTATTGGTGAGTTCAATCTCGGCTGAGGCCGCAAGATGAAGATGATACATCTGTATAAATAATTACAAAATGTTTACTGGGCTTTAACCTTTGATTTGCCATCAATTGATGACTTAAATGTTTTCCCAACAATACAGGCAGCATTCATTCATGCTTTTTGTCTAAATTAATAACTGGTGATGTTACGTTCCATCGTTTCCTGGAGTATTTGCTTGCAAATAAAGCTGGAAGAAGAAGCCAAAGACAGTGCAATGTCTGCATGGATACTTTTCAAAGACAAAAGCAGCAAAGTGACAACTTGGTACAAAGAATGCTCTACCAGAAAACAGGTATTACAAAAATCAATTCTAAAACAGCATCAGATTGGGGGAAAAATGTGTGGCATTACAAATGCTTTGAAAATCTAGCAACATAAACATGAAATGATACAAGTGATGATTAAAAAAAAGTAAAAAAAAAAAATAAAAGAGACAAAACAATTTTTTCTCGAATATAAATATTCGATTTGCAATAAATTTTTATTTCATCTGGGGGAGCTTGGGGTCTGAGAGAAATCAACTCCTAATTTTTTTTTTATTTTTATTTTTTTTTATTTTTTTTTTTTTTTTAACCAAATAGGAAAAGTAGGGGCAAGAAGTTGGTGAACCATGGAGTAAAACTATGGAAGCGCCAGGCACCAAAGAATCTGAAACTGTGGTGGTTGAAAAGTGTGTCCATCATCTTTTGGGGGATTTGTTTGAATTTGCTGTCTGTGGAGGTTGGAGTGAGATAACAAGATACCCCAGCTTCTTAAATTTAAAAAAAAAAAAAAAAAAAATGTCATTTGGAATCTATTTAGTTCAAATGCGTTTATTTTTTTTTTTTCTGCATGTTTTTATTTTTTGTACAAAAATCTTTCTCTCTTTAGAATTTTATTTGAAACTGATTGATTTGTTGTTTTTTTAATTCTTTAACTGAAAAAAGCTTTTATAGAATCTTGTTTTCTTTAAATTCCTTTCTCAGTTTTGTAACACATTTCAACACAAAAGAGAAAACTGATTAAAAAAATAATCCAAAAAAAGAGAACTATTTTTTTTTTCTTTTAAAGTCAGTTCTTTACTGACCTTGACATTATCAATAACAAGGAGCCCTTGCAAATCACACATCCCATCATGCATTGCTTAAGTAAATAATTTTATTTATTTATTTTTAATTTTATTTTTTTCATTTTAATCTCCAGGAAAATATCAGAACTAAAAGAAATACCAACAGGGTTTGTATTTTAAGAATCAGGCCACACATTACAACATTCATCATCCACCTGACACAAACATTCAGACTCGTTTCTCTTCATTTTCTTTTTCTTTTCATTTATTTTTCTTTAAGACAGTGGAAAGAATACAAGAAAATGACAGTCCTCTGTGGTCCATAGTCAAGTATAAATCCACTATCTGCTTTCTTTTCTGTGTGTATGCATGTGTGTTTATTTCACTGTCCTAAAGGACTCTTATACACAACCAACATTGACAAGGCAGGTACTTTACTGCAACCCAAGACGTACCCAGTGGTGCATACTCACACACAAACACACACACTGATCTAACTACACTCACACACATATTCATACAAATCTAGGCACGCACATGTAGCCACTAGGTGCAGTTTGTTGGCCACTAGATAACTTTTTGGGTCTGTCCACCAGGACTGTGGTTTCCATTGCCCGTTGGAGCTGATGGAGATGTTGGGCTGACATCATTACGACATTTTCGGATTTCTTTCAGACGTTGTAAGATTACTTTTTTCATCATTCGGTATTTATACTGAAGTTGATTGATATGCTCGTCTTGTTCCCTGTCCAACACCTTCAGGAAATTGTTCAACTCTGGTAAGCTGAAATTTGACCACTGTAAAGAGAAAAGAAAAAAAAAATTTTATTATAATTCTGCTTATCCATCCCTTAGTGTGACTGTTACACCCTGCCAATACACACACCCAATACCTCATAAACAATGGACCCTTCCATTTTGATTGTGTGGAAAGACGGAAAAGACATATCAGTGATGTTACTTGGTTTCAGTGAGAAAATGAAAGAAAGAAGGGAAGATAGAAATGTTTTGATGGCTGTTTCATTGAAATGGAAAAAGTCCTCTTTTTTAATCACTTTAGATCTATTTATTTTTTCTTGTTGCTGTCTTCCTCCTCCTCCTTAATGCCATTCCTCTTTGGTGCTATGCACCACAGCCTTACCACATTTGGTGTTACTGCTATGGATTCTGTAGCATATAGGCATTTACAGGATGGAGTTGCTAGCCCTATACCTAAATAGTTTTGAATTCAGAATTGTCTTTCTCCTAGATTGGTTGCCAACTAAGGCTAGAAAGCACAGTCTGCTCAGCTATTTAACCCATAGCTTGGAAGAAGAGATTGATTTGCAAGAGTATCTATGTAAAAGTGAACACAACAACTTTAGCTGGAATTTGAACACAGTACACCGATTCAAATTCCTACACCAATAAACACTATGCCACATCACAACCTTGTTGTTGTCATCTTTTAACGTTTTTTTTTTTTTTAAAAATGAATGTATTGTTTAAAAAAAAAAAAAATCAATAAGTTACTTTTGTCATAACTATTAAAAAAACAAGTTTTGATTTGAGAAAATGTGAAGCAGCTTTTGAACCCAAAGAATGGGGGGAAGTAAAAAGCAGGTTTATCCTTAGAATAAAGTAAATAAAATTGTAAACTATTTTCAAATTGATGAAAAAGAACCTGTTCTGTGTACTTAATGCATCCATAGATAAAAGTGTACTTTTTTTATAGCATCAAGGAATAAAGTACATAAAACTCTTTCTAAAGCAAGAGTTGTCGCCCTTGTATCGTTTAGTACAGAAAAAAGAACTGATACATAAGATGTGAATGTTAACATCTTTTAACATTAACCTCTTGTTAGTAATCGAGTTTTTTTTTTAAAAAAAACTGCATTTAAAATATAGATTTATCATTTAGCTGTTCATTTTCTTGGTTTATATTGTCTTGAATTTTATTTATTGTTTTTATAGGATAAATGTAAAGGAAAAAAGGTTTTATTTTGAAAAATCAAATTAAAAGTCCAATATTAAAAAATTCAAATATAGATTTTATTTTATTTTCAGCATGGTCTTTTAAAACAATTTATAAACAATCTGACTCTTCTTCAACTATTTTTTCACACTTCTTGAGCCTTGTATTAAATGAATTTATTATTTTAGAAAAAAAATAAAATTACACAAACTCTCTTTCTTCCAAATAGGATTATGAAGAAAAAAATGTAGAAATTAGCAAAATGTTTGTACTGGATTCAGAGTTAAAAACGAAAAAGAAAATTTCCCCAAGGAATTATAGCAATTCAGACATAATAAAGAAAAGGAAGATGTGGAGAGCTATGACCGCCTATGTCCCGAAAGGATATGGCATTACATTTTTTTTTTTAATCTGATATATGATAAGGAACATCATCTACCCATCATCATTCCTGTAACTTTAAATCCTTTCACTGTTTATAAATATCATATTTGTATTATTAGCATTGGTTGTCAGGGAGTTTGGTCAAATGCCAGACTGTAGATCAAATTTGTCCTTTTGGTACTTGCTGAATATCAATCATTAAGATGCCATGCACTCTTTTGTATAGCATTAGTAGCATGGCCCGGCGTTGCCTGTGCTTGATTCAAAAATCATATGACTCATACAGCAATCGCTATCACTTGACTTAAAATATTTTTGCCCTTCCTTGCCTTTAAAGGAGTGCCCTTTGCCACGCTGATGTTGCTACATGCCTTACTTCTTGCCTATCTCATGCTGCAAATTTTTTCTAAGCTCTATACTAAACATTAAATCTGTTACGAAAAAAGAACTAAACAAAATGAACACAAAACGATCAGCTTTAAAAAAGGACTCGTCACTGGAAAAACCGAATGAAAAAAAGAATGTTAACAACAAATACTTTTTCACACCCAACCCAGTTCTGTGGAATCAGAATCAACGTTGAGTTTAAGCAAGTGAATGTGCCAATTGGAGTAAAGTGCCATGCAGATTTAAATTTTTCCCACTTGTGACGAATACAGCTATCGATTTTTTTTACATGCTAGCATGCTAGTTAACATTTGTGTCAGTCAGCTGTTGGCTCTCACGCTGGCCAATAGAATCTTCCTGCCTATTCGTGGCAGCCAGCTATTGGCTCTCACTCTGGCCAGTAGAAAATGGCCGCAAACTACATGAAAACTGCTGTAGAAGCATGAAAGAAGATGTAGCTCTGGAGAAGTAGTAAGAAATGGATGTTCAAAATGTCCAACCTTTATATCAAGGAAAGATGATAATAAAGATAGAGTGAGTATAAAAAAAACTGTATGATTGAACATCCAGCAGGTGGTATTGATATCTAAAAGCTAATCCAATTTACTTCACTAAACTAGTCAAATGCAATAAGAGCTTAAAATATCCACTAAACACTGAAAAAATTCAAGTTGTCTGAAAGTTAATGAACATTATGATGGCATTGCTTTATTTTGCTTGTGTAGTGAAATAAAACCAATGAGGCCACAATATCTCACCTGCCCAGTTAGAGCCACCATTAGCAATTCAGGTAAAGGATCTGTGTGGTTCTAGTGCTTTTAAAACTATCACTAATTTGCATGCCTGGTCAAAAATGTGAATAAAAGTTGATCCACACAGACAAGCAGGAAGAAGGATCAACAGAACTTGACCAGTGCTGGACCAGGCTTGTTGCGACTATCAACTACATCTTGGTAACAGATAAAATCCATGGTACACAGTGATATTTTACAAGACTTGAGAAAAGCTGTTCTTTCATCAACTATACTCTAAGTTTATTATACTGTGAGTCTATTAGAATATCTTATTGTGAAAATTGGTAAAAAAAAAGTTTAATAAGTGATGTAATGAAATAACCTGTCACCCCCATAAGTAACTACACTATAGGTAGTAACTACCTATAAGTATCAGAAAGTCAAAGGACTACAGAGTCTAGCTGGGATCTGTGGAGTACAACTCAGATTTATGTGAGAACTACCAACCTTCCAAAAGTAGTCCTCACTACTGGATTGACTTGCAACAATAGTATGCATAACTGTTACCTTATTTCTTACTGCACTGGTTTTTACAATAAACCTTTACTTATTTATCCACCATGTTGTTCAAGTATATGTTCCTATTAGCACAGAATATAACAATATGTTTAAAACATTTAATTGAAATATTAATTTAATTTTCAATTTAATAATAAATTGCCAATACATTAACTGATGATGATTATCATTATTATTAGAAGAAAAAAATTGAACAAATAATAATAATAATAAACAAATACACTGATTCTACACCAGGCCTGGCTCTCATGGTTTTTGATTAAAAATTGGAGGTATTTACACTATTCTCATTGCTAACACTGTTGTTCTCATCTTTGTTGCCATATTCACTAAGTTTCGGTTATTGTATGCTCAGGCCTTCTTCAGGATCTGTCTATATTTCTGAGATGAGGTATTGTAATTATTTATATTATTTACATTGTTTGCACTGTTGTCCTCATCTTTGTTTCTATTTTCACAATATTTCGGCCATTGCATGCTCCAGCTTTCTTCAACAGCCAAAATACTGTGAATATGGCAACAAAGATGTGGACAAAAGGATGAACAATGTAAATAGTGTAAATAATTACAATACCTCATATTAGTGCTAATATGTACATATTTTTTTTTCTTGGTGAATTAATATGGGCTATAGTAAATATCCTGTTCACTACCACAGAGTTGCTTGACTTTCACCAGGGGCTGATGTGCTATGTATCTCTGTTCATTAGGAGGACATTATGGTCAGATGTCAAGACGGTTGCTTTGTTTTAAATTTGGAGGCTGAGACTTGGAAGCTACATCTAGATATTTGAGAATGTCTTCAATTTAAGACTGTCACTAACTGCAAGGTTATGTGATGTTTTTATCAAAACTTATATTGCACATTTGGCTGTGACAAATGTGCATGGTGTACCCTTATCAGACTGTGTGCTATGATGGGTATATTCGGATTGTCTTTTTTTGCACTTCTTGTTTGTGGAACTACTTTCCAGCTACATGCTTTCCAGCCAAATTTAATCTGCAGAAATTTAAATGCAATGCATACTGCTATCTACTGTCCTCCTGATTACTCTTTTCTCTTCCTGCTCATTAGTAATGTTTCTGTTCCTAATTCTTCCACACCCAGTAACTGCTTGTGTCTTAGTGGCTTTGCTGCCTTGCTTGGGGTGAATCCGATTAAAAAAAAAAAAAAAAAAAAAAAAATTATACCCCTAGTGTAGCCTCACTGTTCTCTCTCACTCACTAATAATAATAATAATTTAATGAGATTCAAACACCCCAAAAAAGTGAATGGACTTGATTTATAATATTAAACAAAGAACCTCACCTCGATGTCACCTGTGGCTTCATTCTCCTGCAACACAAGACGATGGGCCTGTAGGTTCTCAGTTCCCCATCCAAGACAAATTTGCAGTGGGCACTCAGCATCCAAAACACGGCGTAGTTTCACTGAAAGAAATAACAGCTTATATTTAATAGTGGCAAAAGACTGGAATTTTTTTAATCAACGATAATGTCATTAGGTTAATTGTCATACTGGAACAAAAAAGAAAAAACTCTTTGTTTTGAAACTTTATAAAGAATTTCATACAAGGAAGTAATATTTTTGTAAAGAAACCAGGTTCATAAATAGAAGGGAAAAAATTAAAAAGACCCTTTTGGAATTGCTTATTTCTTTACCTGCTAAATTAGACAAAAATGAAAATAACACTGACATCTCATTTTAACAGATATATTTACCAAAATTACATAAAAATATCTTGAAATATGAAAGAGTAATTTTATTCAATAAAATTGCCATTGGCTTCAACCATGGCCTCCAGAAAACTAATCTGTCTATCCTTTAATGTGGAGGCACTTTGTAGTCTGCTGGCATGTGGAATTGTCCAATAGCTTAACAGTAATCTTGGTAAGTAACTATGATATTATCATTAGATGGGGAAAATGCTTTTAGTCCCATTTTCATAGTCTGCATCAGTCTTTCTGCAATTCCATTGTGGGGGGTAAGGAAGTATTTTATATGGGATGCATTCAACATGCTTTAGTCATGAGCACAAACTTTCCTCACAAAATGCATTGAGACCAAAGTTTTAGCACCCCCACCTCAAATTCCTTGGAAATATTGTTCTTAATATTTGTTTTAAAGTGGTGGCTTTTCTGTCAGCAACCTTAATCACTTTGGGCCATCCGGAAAATTAGTTTACTAAAATTAAAAATAGCCCCATGCCTTTAATATAGGCATGATCCATGTGTACTTGAGCCCATGGTTCTTTTTCTTTAAGCCACAAGTGAAAATTTTTTTTTCAGCACCTTTTTACATAGTCTTCTACATCTCAAGAATATCCCAGCCACCACGCTTGTAATTTTAATCTCATTTGTGTTGTTGTTATACCACAATGTACACCTTTTATTACTTCTTTTCTTAAACTTTGTGGGGATATTATAATATCTCCATTGCATATTATGCCTTTCTCTACAGTTAACATGTCTTGATTCTTTGTAGGGTCTTTCTGCCATTGAACAATTGCTCCATGTTTTTTCTTTTTATTCTGTCTGAAATTCTACTTGACACTGAATTTTGTATGGTTTCTATTCTGAGATGATTTAAGGGGTAACATGTCTGTTTCAACCCAGTGCAGTATTTGATTTCATGAATTTTCAGACATTTCTAATTTTTTACTGTTGAAATTTAGTCTCGGTAGTACATCCATATAGGGAATTGTGTTCCTCTTTATGTGTATGATGTCAAAATAAAAGAACATGAGTTTTGTAGCCCATCTTAAAATTCCAGAAGATGTGACTTTTGGTAATTCCTTTCTGGGGTTAAATATAAACTCTAAAGGTTTGTGATCTGACTTCATCAAAAATTTTTGTCCTAACAAAAGATTCTATATTATTGCTAACGCTTCTTTCTCAATATTTGAGTAGTTGATGTTAATTTTCTTGACAGGGACATTACTGAATGACCTTCTTGAGATAAAATTATTTATCAGTTTATTTTCTAGTAAAATTCCTTCTTTAGATATTTGGTATCCTAAATACAATATTTTGTCACCATTTAACTCCCATTTATTGCTATTTATCATCATACCAGCATTTTTTAATTTGTTTAAAACTTGTCCATTTTTTTAATTCTTCTTTATTGCAAGCACCTATGCCTATATCATCTTGAAATATGATTATACTTTTTACCCCATCTGATAGAACATTTTCAGTTGTCTTTTGAAAAATATGGCTTCAAGTCTTAACTCCAAATAGAAGACAAGTCCATCTCAGTAACCCTATCAGGGTATTAATTATAGTGACTTCTTTAAATTTTCTGTCAATTTCTATTTGGTTATATGCCAATTTCAGGTCAGTCTTGGCAAAGTATTTCTTTCCTGCTTACTCATGACTTGCCATTTCTATGTTAGTTAAGAGGAATGAATCAGATCCTTTGTAATCCCCACATATCCTTAAATCACCAATGGGCTTTCATATCGCAACAATTAGTAACACCCAACTGCTACCACCTTGAGTAATTTTTTCCAATGTCTTGTTCTAACATTTTCTTTAGTTTTGCAACTACTATGGGTAGAATGTGAATATGTATTTTTTGAGATTCAAAATAGATCAGGTGACTATTTTCTTTTAGACGAATACTCACTTTATACCTTTCAATACTCCTATGTCAGGTTCTTCTGACTTCATACAGTTTATTAATTTCGCTGTATCCACTTTTAAAATGTCTATTCCTGGAGTCCATCCCAAGAGGGTGAAAGTGTTTATATCAGTTTGTTTTATAGTGTTGAATAGAACACCACCTTGTGGGCATCCTCACAAACAAGGTGGGGTAATCCCCAAAATAATATAAACTAGTTTCTATCAATTTAATTATACAAACATCCAATATTCAGATTTTTCAACAATTCAATCAGGACTCCAGGGGTTTAATAATTGAAATCTCGTAAAGGGGCGATATTGTGAAGAACAAGTTAAAATTCATCCAAAAACTCACCAATTTTGCCATTCTGGAGTTCCTGTTCATACATAGCAAATTTTCGTGGGTTGTCAAGAATTTTGAATTTCTTAAGCAGAGCTGAAATGACTTCTTTGGTGGTTGTTTCGCTAGAAAGAAAAAAAAAACAATATTTTATAAAATATATTCTAAATCTATTCTAGTATAACAATCTTGCTGATCAAGAATTAACTTTAAAAAATCTATATTGGCTTCAAAACTCATCAGAAACTGGAATTGTTAATTTTAAATGTACATGGAAGGTGACTAAAGCTCTGAATAAATTTTTCCACTTTGTTTTTCTTTTTTTAAAATCATTTAACTCTAAGTAAGGCAATAAAATTACTAAGATACAAAGGATTACTGAGAATGAAAGGAACCAAGAGCAAAAAATTGACGAGAGAGGACAATAAAAGAATATGATTCAAGGAGACAGATGATGATTGACATTGCATTTTGAAGATCAGCATTAACTGGAAAGTTCCACAAATGAGAAATGTGAGAGAAAAAAAACTATTAACATAGAACTTATGGTTACATCCAGCAATTTAAACTGTAAAAGGACGCCAATCTACAGGGTGGTCCGAAAGTCTTGTCACCCCCTACATAATATAATTTTCTATTTCAGATGTTTGACATGAGTTCCTACAGTTTGGAAGAGAGTTAAGTGGTGACAAGACTTTCAGACCACTCTGTTGTACTGTGCCTAGATTCATAAAGTTGAGGTATGAAAGAGGAAAGTTCATCAGAACAGTTAAATATTTATAGAGTAAGTACAAGGAAGCTATGTTACTGTGAGGAAATAAAAGAAAGCTATATTACAAAAGGAAATAAAAGGACAATTTTTTTTTTATTATAGCCTTTGCTGATTGTGGTTTTAAACGATGCCAAGAGTGTTTCTGAATATGTAGCATTTGTTTTGTTTTCATAACTACAAGTTGGTCAATTTGGGGTATGCTCTGTCTCAGTCAGCTTATCAACCCTATTTGTGTTATTTAAAGCTGAAACATATTTTGGATTGTAAGAATAATAATAATTTTTTTTTTTTGTGAGTAAATATTGCATTAACAGTTTTATGAGCATAACAATAATTTTTTCCTGATACAATCCTACTCTTTAACTCATAGCTGAGGGAGAAGAGATGGATTCATATTTTTCCAAAAGGTATTTGCTTGTAAGTGAATGTAATGAACTGACTTGACTCTCCAGGTAGTTAATGAATATTGCAAAGATTTAACAATGATTTAAAATAAAACATCAGGAAAGACTATAACATCATTTTAGACAAAAGTACCACCAAAAGATACAAAGAGAAGCAACCATTTGAAACATTGTAAATACTAGGCAACTACTAAAATTACTAGGAAACTACAGTGTAACCCGGATATAAGAGAGATTTTCTCTGGTCCCAAAGTGTTCCCATATTTACCTAAACAAAATAGACCAAACCCAGAGAGACTTCTTCTCCGGTCCCAACAACTCTCTTATATCCGGGTTACACTGTACTAAAAATACTAGGCAACTACTAAAAATACTAGGAAACTACTAAAAATAGTCTTTAAAAATTTAAAAGATTTCTATTAAATTATGAAAATGTATATGTTCACAGTTGGGTCCATTACATTCACTTTCTTTCCCACCCCTCAGCTATAGACTGAATAACAGGGCAGACTAGGCTAACCGCAAAAAGAACCTACTGTGGGAAAATCTTCTACCTAATCAGGCATTTTTCTTTTCTTTCTAATAGAATTTAACCCAAGTAAGATAGTAAAACCACAAAGACACAAGGGCTTACTGGGTGTAAAAGAATTACAAAACAGAAATATTATTAAAGAGCAAGAACAATAAAAGAGTAATCAGAAAGACAAGCAGATAACAACTGACATTACATTTCAATTTTTGAAGATCATGGCACTAGAAGAGAGTTCCACAAGCAAGAAGTGCGAGAAAAGAAACTATTAGCATAGAACTTATGATTACATCTAGCCAATTGAACTGTAAATTGATGAGACCTTGTTGCCAATTTAGTACTAAAGCTTAAATTCATAAAGTCTAGGTAGGATAGCAAAAGATCTTATCAAACAATTACCATAAAAAAATATTTATAGAAAAGACACAGGGAAACAACTTTACAGTGGTGGGAAAGTGACTGAAGCTGAGATGCCAGGTCAAGACCAATAATATTGCTGATTCATTTTTGGATTTTATCAAGAATCTCTAAATATATAGCAGGAACACAGGATTATATTTCAGGAATCAAAAGAGACATAATCATCCAAGTGTGTATCATGTATGGCACTTAACTAACAAACTGATTTTTAATCACAAAATATTCTTAAATAGTAAGCCAAGTCATCACTTGTGACGATACTTGAAGTAATATCTCCAACTCTTATCCTATGTGTACTGAGGATAAGTTACATCTGGTCCAAAATGATCATTCCATGATCAGGTGGATATGCAGTCTATCATCAAGTTCACAATCTTCTCCAATTTTTTTAAAAGAAGCGGTTCATCCCTTATTAGTTTCTTGGTTTGGGTTTCTGGTTCCTTCTAAATTCTACCTCAACTCTATACTCCTAACATCTCCGTCTGAGCTCTGACTATTTTTTTTTCTTCCTGGTCTTTTGAACAGGAGTAGAGGTCACTTGTTTCCTGTTTAGGATTGGGTTTCTGGCTCTTTCCAAAGTCTACTACATGTTATTCATGAATTAAATCTTGAACTCTTCAAGTCTAAAGTTATCTTTCCTGCATAGCCCCAAGAACTTCACTTCTTGTCATTTCTTACCCTAATGCAACACTACACAGTAACCCTCTACCTTGAGTGGCTCCTGGGCCATGCTATTGGGTGGCCATTAGTTAAAATAAAACCTGATGACAAAAGTTAACATGGTTTAACTGTATAAATATCTTTACACATCTTCTCTTGATGAGAGCATTATTGTTTGGACATGTACAATGAAATAATTCAAGGCTGAAGCAGCATACTGAGCTTAATACTGAGAGAAGTCCTGGCAAAGAAAATATGGAAAGAAGGTGCCAGCAAAAATCTCAAGAAATTGAAGTTGAAACTGGTATAAACATTCTTTAAAAATTAAAAAGTTGAACAGATTTATGCTTATATTCTAGAATTAAATTTGCTAAATACATCCTATCACGCCATAACAATTTCTTTGATTTTTATAGTTTTGACTTCCAAACCATCATCAACAAATTGTTACATCTTGATGGTACTTGTCTTTTTAAAAAAGTAAGCAATTTATGGGAGAGCAATTTGCTCATGTTAATTATGATGGCATGACAGTGACAAGACCTTTTGTTGGGATATCTGTAACAATAGAGCAGTGCAAAAGGAACTGAATTCATAATTTCTTTTTTTTAAGGATAGTATAAACAGCCTCAGTGAAAATTTGAATAGTTCCCTGGATTTGCTTATCCTGCTGGCAACTTTTATACGACCCAATATCCAATAATAAAAGCAGAAAGTGATAACTTCTTCTTCTACTCTGATCTCATTAGTGTTGTTAGATTTATAAATAAACGTGGAAAAATAAAATCAATGAAAAATCAATGAAAATAAAACTGGAACAATTTTGAGAAATACAATAAGCCCTTGATTTAATATCCCTTAATTTAAGGAATCACTCCTAGGTCATGTGGGCCTTTAAGAACTTTTTTTTTTTTTATTGAATGAAGTTAGATAAATGTTACAACAAATTATTCATAGAGTCCTTGTTAAGTTACTAGGTATATGTCAACCTTGTTAGCTAGAAATGGATTGACTGATTTGTATTTTTATGGTTTATTAACCTTTTGTGGTTTATTTAAAGCTAAAACATATTTTGGATTGTAAAAATAATTTTTTTTTTTGCAAGTGAATATTGCATTAACAATTTTTTTGTCTTTTCGGCTTTTAAAATATCACCCAAGTTACATGTAATGTTATTTGGTAGCCAATTTTTATTTCAATATCTTTCCTTATTTTCCATTTGACTTAAATTAACAATTTTTTTTGAGATAATAATGAATTTTCCAGACAAAATCATACTATTTAACCCATAGGTGGAGGGAAGAAAAGATGAATTGATACCTTTCCCAAGAGTATCTGCACATAAGTAAATGTAAGAAACTCAACTGGAGTTTGAACTCGGCCCTCTGATTTTTAATTCCAAGCTAATACCTATTACATTGCCCACACGTCAATAGTGGTCAACAATACAGCTTAGATGATGTCAAGCAGAGGAACAAGATATTATCAATGGTTGAGGTCAATTTGGCTTAGACAGAAATTTGTCAGGATAAGGTGGATAATTTAAGCAAGGTCTATATTATAAAACTGTTTATTAAACATTTTGAATATCAGTCAAATCATTTGAAAAAGTTTTTCAGACTATCATTCATTACCAGAATGATTTGGTTGATCCATTCTACAGCCTTCTTCATGTGAACAATTCAGACACTGAGAAAGTAAGAGATATCTTCCCATCTCAATGATTTGGGTTGTTTAATGTATAGCCAAGGTCACTTGCTTATTGCAAACAACTTCTCTCAGTGACCTACTCAGTGCAGATTACATCTACAGAACCCCCTTCCAAAAATAACCTTGCAATATGAGCAAGGAAAAGTATGTACAATTGTTTTATTTGATAGTTTGTACAGTTTAATGTACCATTGGTCATTTGTGTGCTGTTTTAGATTTAACATAACAATGTTCATTAAATGTGCTGATCTATAGAACTTACTCCTTTATGAAATTAGGGATTTGTTGGATTTAAGGAACACACACTACCCCTTCCCATTAATTCTTTAAATCAGTGTTTTACTGTAATTTAAGACTTTTCAGCTTTTAAAATAGCACCCTAGTTACATGTAATGTTATTTGGTAGCCAATTTTTATTTTGATGTCTTTCCTTATTTTCCATTTGACTTAAATGCTCTTAAATTTCCACCTATGGTTGATATTATTTGGTTAAAATATATAAAGACAACAGGTGCAATTTTTACTTTCAAACAATTTTATTTTTTTAAAAATTCTACTGTCAGGTTTAAATGTTACACAAAATTCTTCAAAAGAACATGAATACAATTTGTAATAAGTGTTGTGGGTTACTCCACTTGGCTTTGTCAAACATGCCTGTTAGAACTGCACTGTTTAAGTTTATAAAAAAGTCAAACATTTCCTTCATCTTTCTCTCTGTTTTTCCTCTTGCTTTCAGATGTAGCCCATAAATATTTATGGTAAAATATTCACCCAACTCATATCCAAAGTGATGATTACCACAACAAATTGGTGATTTTTACACGAACATCCTAGAATCCTGCAACAGTGTAAAAACTATTATGGGATAGAGGTAGTAATTTTAATTATTTTAGCTTACCGTTATTAATTGTAGCAGTGTCAACTTACCTATCAACATGAATTGATTTGACTGTGTCCCTTGGCATATAGAATGAGATGGATTGGGTGTTCTGTTCAACAATATGTTCCCGTGTTAGCACTTCATAAATTGAAGGCGGCCGGGCCCCTAGAGACATTGTAATTGGTCGAATCAAGTTCAGGGTCACCTTGATGAAACCTTGGAATGTTTCTCCATCTGACTCCTACAAAAAAATAAAGAAAAAAACAAAAATCTTTAAATGTAATTCAAACATTAAAACAAAACTTTTCCAGCTTTCTTAAAAGAAAAAAAATAATACATTAAAATTTTTTTTGTTATTTAAGAACTCAAGGATAATTAGAAAGTGTCATAATCCTTCTCCTGTTAATGATTTCTAGCCAACCTTTTAACCAATCAAAATTGTTTTATTCAGTGCAAATAGCCATTTCTGACTGTAATTGAAAAAAAAATTGAATTTGTCATATTGGTCATGTATTCCATTTTGGATATCAAACTTTTTTTTTCATTTGTTTTATGTTGGATCCAACTTTTTCTTTATAAAAAGATACTTGTGTGTAATTAAGGAATTATAATTTTAAATTCTGAGACAAATATTTATCCATCTTGGATTTTGAATAATGATCTCTGACTTGAAATAATTTATGTACCTCAATGTTTTTCAAGATGGAAACTATAACTTTTATCAGTTAAAAATATTATTTCCTTAAATTAAGATACAAATTTTGCCAATAAAACAATTTTATTTTTCACAATGTCACAGAAGTATGTTGATTATCTGTTTTGACAGAAATGTGATTACAATGGAATTTTGATAAATAGATTATCTTAAAATTATGCGTTTTTTTGCTTTATATTTAAGAATAAGAATTTTACACAGTCAGCCTAATTCTAACAATCAGGCATTGGCTAATCAATGAAAAAGTTAATTAATTCAAGCATTTTTCTATCACTTTGTAAAAATTATGCAAGCTTGTAAAATTTTTCATTTGTAATAAACTAACATCACAGTTCATTGAGTGAAGTGATATATTAATCAACTTTTTATAAAACAAAACAATTGAGACATTTTGTTCTGTTATTTTCATAAAGAATATACAAAATTAGGACTATATATATATATATATAATGATTATATGAGGTAGAATCCTCAGAGCAAGAGAATGATTATCCAGAATTACAAATAATTTCTCAAATGACAGAAAGAGATTAAACAACAATGTAAAAAGTGTTTAAAATTATCCATGTAGGTAATTAGTTTAATATTCAAAATAAATTAGTGTGAATTTTTGATGAAGAGTTGTCATTATTAACTTTATTTACACTCTAACTAATATCCTCATCTTTGTTGTTATCACAATATTTCAGCAGTTATGTCCTCTGGCGTTCTTCATATGCCTGCTGATCTGGGTAACCTTCAGAGAATTTCAAACTGAACTGTTTATTTAATCTAAATGGTAGAACCTACAATTACTATGTCACTAAATTCACAAACTACTCCTCTAGGCTATTGTCCTGAAATGTTGTAATGGTAGCAACAAAGATGAGGATATTTGTCCTAAAAGAAATAATGTAAATAAAACTAAATCCATTGGAAAATGTATTCATTTTTGCATCTATCAGATCATAGTATACAGCTTGGTACAATTAATATACTTATATGCAATATACTTGCGAAGAAACAACATAACCAAATCGTTTTTTATTAAAATTTTTACAAATAACAGACCAGACACACACTTTTTTTTAAACTTTTGAAAAGTCAGATTAACTTAGTCTTTAATCAAGTTATTATGATTAATTCATGCAGAAAATTCAGATGACTAAACTACGGCACACACCATTTGATGAGAAAGTAGGAATTGACGAGATATTTAAATCAAAAGTAATGATTACTAAGAGGAGCTAGAATAGATTTTTTTTAATCAATTCACTCCAAGCAAGATGATAAAGCCACTAAGATGCAATGGGTTACTGAGCTACTGGAAGTAACTTCCCTGAGCATTTTCTGTAAATACTTTCATGGTAAAATGAAACCAGGGATAAATATTTTCATGGTAACTGTTTTGATGAACTTTCCACTATGGTATTTAGTCATTATGAATTTAAGCCCAGTACTAGATTAGCGACAAGGTCTCATCATTTTACAGTTGAAACAGCTAGATGTAACTGTAAGTTCTATGCTGACAGGATCTTCTCTTGCACTTCTCGCTTGTGGAATTCTCTTCTGGCTACTTGCTTCCCAGTCAACTTTGATTTTCAAAAATTTAAATGCAATGTCAATCGTCATCTTCTGTCTTCTTAATTTTTGCTCTTTTACTATCATCTCTCCTTAATAGTAGTTTTTCTCATACTCTCTAACACACAGCAACACCTTGTGTCCTAGTGGCTTTATTGCCTTGCTTCAGGTGAAATGAGAAGGAAAAGACTTTAGAAACTCAATAATAGTATAAATTTCAGAGTTCAGGTGAGGACATTAGAAATCTAGAGTTGGAATTTAGGAGGAACATGAAATAAGGGATAAGCCTTTTCAAAAAACTCCTTTTCAAAAAGACTGGGGAGGTGTGTGGGCCAAACGATAAGTGAACCTATCTACTACAGATGTTTTGCCACTAACTTTCATGATCAGTATCTTAACACCATCCTCTGTTAAAACATCTAGATATTTAAATTTTAAAATCCAAAGGTACATTGGGATAGTAAAAGATGCCTTCCAAAAGTTAAGTAAAGTATTAAGAAACAGGAAAATTTCATTAGAAACAAAGAAAATAGTGAACTGTTATATAATATTGGTCCTCGTATATAACAGTGAATGTTGAACAATCTCATCACAGATAGAGAAGAGATTTGAGGCAACAGAAATGTGGATCTACAGAAGGATGCTGAGAAATATCATGAACCCAATATGCGAGACACAACAAAGATTTAGAGAAAATGGAAACAAAAGGGACACTTATATGGAGCATCAGAAAGAAATACTTGAAATTTTGGGGGCAGATAATGAGGAAAGAGAGCTCAGAAAATTTGACACTCAAAGGAGGTATTGAAGGCTAGAGGGACAGAGTGCATAACCTACTTAACAAGTTTATATAAATGGATGGTAGAACAGGGATTAAGAGATATAGCAAAAAGACTACTAAAGGTTACAAATGTTAGGAAGTTGTGGAGAGCCATGATTGCCTAATTTGAATAACTATAGAATTGTGATCATAAATGTTAAAGTAATCTTCTATAAATTCGAAATAAAATATTCATTATTTGTTTCATAGCATATTAGGAAAAAAAGGCACTCATTTTAAATGCAACCATATGTATATTTAATGGGAGGTAACTCTCAAAATAGGATGTGCAGGTCAAGTTATTAGCATGGAATTGACAAGCCAAATTCAAATTTTAGCAGAGGCTCTTGTGTTCACTTTTGTTCCAATGCCTTTGGGAAAGAGATGAATACATCACTTTCTACACAGCCATGGGTTAAATAGAAGGATAGATTGGGTTTCCTAGCCTTGAGTGACAGCCAGTCTAGGAGAAGGAAAATTCTTTTTCTTTTTTTTTTTTTAAATCATTTCACTCACAGCAATAAAGCTACTAAGACAAAAGGGGTTACTGAATGTGAAAGAATAAGAAAAAGTAAGAAGAAGAGCAGGAATTAAGACAGAA